CAAGTCCTCTTGTAGCACAAAGGGGGATAAGTGTGGTAAACCCACTGGAATTTTCCCCGGGGTCCCTAGTGTCCATTGCTGCTAATTGGGTCTGAAGAAGGTCTGGAAGCTATTGTGAGCCGCTCCTCCTCCTCTTTCAGCATGCTCTAGTCCTTACACAAGATGTTTACAGGCCCTGTCAGATCCCTACATGAGGGAATCTAATCTGCCTGCTGTTCCCCTTCTGAAGAACAGCACATCAAAGAAATGGCAGCCTGTTTGATGTGTCTGCTTGCCTCAGAGAATGCACGTAATGGATTAGCAGCAGCTGGAGGAGGGGCCTGCTGGCTTCCAACCATTGCATACAATCTCTTGGGGATCTTTTGTGTGTGTCATCTTTTACGGAGACTTGCTGAGGGATTCATACCCTTGGATAAGAATCTCTGGGGTATCCATATTTAGAGTGATCCCTTCTTTCTTGCAGCCTGTTTGTCACATCCCCACATTCCTATAAAGCCTTGAATCTTAAACATGTTGTCTTGATTTTGGCAAAGAACTGTCTGTCAACCTTTATGAGTTTGGGGAAGTGTCCAGTATATCTTGGGCATTCTCCAAATATTATAGACATTCTAAAGTTAAGAGCAAAATCATGGAGAAGTGAGGTAGCAACAAGGCAACTTGAAAGGGAAGAACTTTAATCTAGGAATGCTTCCTTTGTGGGCTGAAGGGAACATGGTAGGGAACATAGAAGAGTGCTGGAAACCTGTTAGAGCTGCTGTACTGAATCAACATGTTATATAAAAGGTTAGTCTGAAATGGCACACATATCACTACAGTGATATTAACTGTTGCACTCTGAGGGTTCCAGGAGGAACACATTTTTAAAGCATTCCAAAAAGGTAGGCGTTTACTCATCCTTCATACTTGCACTTCCTCTTCAAAGATAAGGTTGTAGAAATCTTATGGGTTTTTTCTGTGCTTGTGGGTATGCTGGTGGGAAGATAGTTTGTCAGGCTTGGGTATACTATTCACTGCTAATAACTTGAATTATAAGACTATCCTAAGACAGTTCCACCTGCAGTTTGGGAAAATTTGATTCTGCTCTCCTGCAGGGACATAGCTTCACTTACCTGCTAATGTAAAACACACTATACAATGAAATAGCGTCTAAGTATTACTTATCCCTTAATGCTACTGTGTCTTTTGTTCTTTTTAATGAAATGGCTGTTGGTTAGAAAAATATCTTCTCCACTTGGGAGAACTGGGCTGCTAAATACCCCCTCCCCAAATTATAGATAGGAAAATTGTTTGCAAAGAGAGCAGCCATCCATTTTGATATAACGAGTAGCTCTGACTGAGATGGACTTCTTCAGTGCGTTCCTCCATTACTGTTGGGCACCAAAGAAAAGCCAAAGCACTGCATATATAGTCTTATATCTTCTGGATCTTAGCAAAGTCCAGATGATGTTTTTGCAGTTAATGGAGGATGAGGTAAATGTGCATGGGCGAAAAGAAGCAGATGATGGCAAGGTATGCAGAGAAATAACAAAATTCATGTTAGGGTGATAGTTTGAAGAGTGAACTATACTAAGAATGGGAATTTTCTTGTGTAAATTTTTTTCATGAGATAGTAATTAGAGTCTACAAAATAGTACCTTTATCTTTCCACGTAATTTCTGTGTCTTGCTGGCAGTTACTGCTTTCTAGAAGAATGAACCATGGGTTATTATCTAGGGCGTTTAACACATTATTGGTTACAGTAGGTGTGGATCTAAGAAGATGTGCTGTTCAACTAATTACTTACTTTTTCGTTAAAACATCTTAAGATTCTGTCCTGCTAGGCTTAAATCTTGGCTGTTGGTCCTTTTCTTTCAGTCTTTAGTGCTAACCGTTAATTTTGTGGTGCTGGTGATTTAACACAGAAAGTCTTTGGTTCCTTTACTGTTGTACTCTATTTTTCTGTCTTGACCAAGTATTTTTGTTTCATGACTAAAATCTCATCTCCTGAGCTAAACTCAGGCACAGCTGATTCTGTTTGGGAAAGAGCAAAATTCCATCCTCTTTGGATCTAATTCAGTCCAAAATAGGAATTACTTCTGAGTTTAAAATGAAGTCTTTCACTGGATCACAGATATGTTTTTGCATCTCTTCTGTAGAATATTGTTTGTAGCCTTAGCCATGTTCCCAATGAGCGGGACTACAGAAATGTTGACAAATGTTAGGAGCACCTTTTTATATTGGCGCTTTCCTTCTGCAGTATGTCATAATGTGGAATGTTGACACTGATATTCAAAAGGAGGAAGGAGAGGTTCTACTCTCCTTAACTTGGCCTGCTTTAACTTCCACCTGATGTGCAGAAATTAGCAAGAGAATATTTTCATGACATGGAGATCAACATTTTCAGATACTAAACTTCTTCAGATGAAACTGCTGTTGAGGACAGCTGGTAGAAAAGCTGATGACCTTAAAAGGAAGTAAATTTCGGTGCTGGGGCATAACTCTGTATCCTTTTAAAGTGACCAGCTTTTTAACCAGAGTAGCCTGGAACATAGGAGATTTGAGTTCAGGTTTTGCTGCTTCCATAGTGTCATTTTGTGACTTGTCTTCTTTTCTACAAACTGGGAATTGTGGTAATCTGTCTCTTCAGTTTGTTAGGAGAGCAAAGATAAAATCTATATAAAATATATAAAATTTTATAAAATATAGAATCTATAGAAAAATCTATATAAAATTGGAAGATACCATACTGCTTGGATAAAGTAGCAGTAACTTGAAATGACTCCTAATAAAAGTGAAAGAAGAAAGTACAAAAGCAGGACTACAGCAGAATATTAAAAAAACAAAAATCATGTCCACAGAAGAAAGATAGAACTTTACTATTACTAATGAAGAAATTGATATTGTATAAGATTTCATATATTTCAGTTCAGTCACCAATGCAAAAGGAAACTGCAGCCAAGAAATTAAAGAAGACTGAGACTTGGAAGGATAGCAATGAAGGAACTAGAAAAGACCATCAAGTGTAAGGACATTTTATTGGAGAACAAGGTCAAGATCATCTAAATGATTGTATTCCCAATCCCAATATAAGGGTTTGAAAGCTGATAGGAAGGAAATTGATGTGTTCGAAACACGGGGCTGGAGAAGAGCTTTGTGAATACCTTAGACCAGGGGTGGGCAATTAATTTTCCTATGGGGCCACATGAGAAACTTTGACAGTTGTTAAGGGCCGGACCAATACACTTACAGCTCTGCTCAATATATATCTCTATAAAAACAGTAAATGAAACATTACAATGATACAGTGAAAATGTGGAGCACAAAACAACACTATTTAATGAATATTCACAAAAACATTAACATAAACATTACATGAAAAGCAATAAATTCAATTCAGTTTAGCAGATCCTTCAAAATAAAAGCAGTGCAGTTGTATTGCTTGCATCTATATTATGACGATATAATTTGCATTGACTTTTAATTTGCCAGTGACCTCATGTGGGCCAGTCAGGGTCAGCCATCGGGCTGGATGTGGCCCGTGGGCCATACAATGCCCAGGTCTGCCTTAGACTGACAGACAGAGAAACAAACAGATAAAACTGAGACTGTCATACTTTGGAGACATCATGAGGAAGCAAGAATCACTGAAGAAGACAATCACATTAGAGAAAGTCGAAAGCAGAAGATGAAAAGGAAGACCAAATACGAGATGGATTGACTCCATAAAGGAAGTCACAGCCTTGAACTTGGACGAACTGAATGGAGCTGTCATGCACAGAAAATTTTGGAAGGCTTTCATTCATAGGGTCAACATAAGTCAGAGACAACTTGACAGCACATTGCAATACATAAAATCTTGCACCTTTAGTCAGTGCAACAAGCAATACAAAATAAAATAAACAACTCTAAAAGCATATAGTAACATAATAAGACACAATTGTAAGGAGGAAATCATCACTTTGTCAGCTTTGCATCCCATCCCATGATTTGGCCAGTTAGTCTAAAGATGATACAAAGTCTTCCCTGGTTCTGCTTTTCTCCTCTCATCCTCACCTTTCTCTTTCCTTTTCATCTGGCTTGACTCCTTTTCTTTCCAGTCTTCTATATTCTTCTTCCTCTTATCTTCTACTCTGGAATACAAAGTATGCTTTATGCTGGAGATCAGTGTATAACTTATTTATTCAATAAGTTATTCTGAACTCTGTGTGTAACTTTACTTTCCAAGTTTATTTGTCTGTAACTGTATAGAAAAACAGTCAAGGTATATATAAGTATGTACTGGCATCTTATTACTATATACCTGAGGTTTGGTCTGTGGCATGCTTTCTAGAAGATTGGCTGGTGCTTTGTTACATACTAATAAAAATGAGTTTGTAGCATAGTCCTGTTTTTACTTTTATGTAAAAGGTAAAGTCAGGAGTAGCAACCCCTCCCCTCCGTTTCGGATTGCTAATCCCACAATCCCAAACATTGGCCAAGCCGGCTGGGCTTTTAGTCCAAAGAAAGCATCTGGAGGTCACCAAGTTGCCAACCTGGGCAGAGGTGTTTACAATTCCAGGTCTAGTCTTTGGAAAGATGAAGTTGCTACATTGGATGGCCAGAGCATTTTTGGTTGAGCTTTAACACCTTCCTGGGCATTCATAAGTGAAGTTTTATGGCCATTAGGACATGGCCTGATGGGTACATTTTTGCAAACTGAGTCAAGGTGGTGTATTCTAATCATTGTTGTGCTCCAAAATGGTTTCCTTGGTGCAATTAATTTACTATGAACTTTATCCTGATGCAAAAGACTGAGAGTGAAAATACTGACTTGCACATTGGGTGTGTAACACTGTGAGATGGAGGCATGCCATGGAGCGCCTGCCCCTATGAGATATTTGGATTGGGCTATGCTTGAGAAATTGCACAGAATATATATACTGGATTCCTGTCAGGTAGGTTGCTTTTTAAATTGACTTGGTGCCAGCACAGGATTCATTTTAATGGGGCCAACTTGCTTCCCCCCCCCCCTTCCCTTACAGGGAATACGTGGAGCAGCAATGTGAACTTTCCCCCGTCTGTATTTACATGCGAGATGAGGTAAGTCAACAAACCTCCTTCTCTGCCATGCCCCTTCATCTTTCACTGAAAATATCAAGATATACCCTACACAGCTTTCCAGCCTGGAAAATGTGTTCCTTCTTTGGGCTCACTGAAAAAGGGAAATGGAAGAGCTTTGGTCTCTTCAAAGCTTGAAGTGTTTGTGTGGGGGAGGAAAAAAACCTCTGCTGGAACATAATCACGGGTCGCTCAGCTCAAGCCTCCGAGCCCATAAAACATTCTCAATGACCTGTTTGTGTGTTTTTTCAAGTTCTTTTAAAGCTCAAGAGTCACAACAGTGGTTTTATTTTAATAAATATTTGCTTTTTCCATGTTTTGATCTCTAGCATTTTTGTTTTTGTTTAATACTTTTATATGTCAGGATTTTAGCCCCCCCCCCCCCCCAAACAAATGCCAGCCTTCCCCTGTATTTTCTTCTGGGCTGTGCACAGATTGGCCCTTATGTGGAGCTTACAGGATAGTCGGCACCAGTTCTGCCATTTTGCAAAGTGAAGCACCAGGTTAGATTTCAGGGTTTTCTGTAGTGGATTTGTGCAGGAGAATGGCTGCCTTGTTGTAAGTTTACTTCTGAGGTGTAAATGGCCACCATATAATAAGGTGGGCAACACATGACTCACACTTGGCCCCCTGCACACCCTGAAATCTTTTTCAAAAAAAGTGATGTGTAATGGTGATTAAATTCTAAAAGGATACAAGCTAATTTTGATAATTTGGTCACTCCATAGCCACTGCAAACAGTATTTTAAGCATCCTTTTTAATCTATTTTTGTTATTTAAAAAAGGCCCCTGTGGGGGTGCAGCCATGGGATAATGGTGGGGGGGGGTGAAAGTAACAGTTTTAGGTGGCTGTCCCAAACAAAAAACCGAATTATTACATATGAAGAATATGGACATAAGAAATCAGAGTGATGGTTCCCTTGGCTCAGTTTTGCTGTAGTATTCCACTGGCGAGGTACCTGGAAATTCTTTAACTTACAAGTGAGCAACATGCAGCTCCTGCTACCCACCTCCCCACTATATAGATAATGTGTTGTCTGGAATCTTCTTTGACCCTTTTGCTGCTGCTCCAAAGCAGCTCCAGATAACTTTAAAAAAGTCTTTCTGCACTGTTTGTGAGGGGAAGTGTGGCCCATGGCAAGGAGAAGTTCTGGGGAGTGAAAATGGCCCCTGGACTTCTCCCTAATGGCTCCTGGAAGTCTCCTGTAATTGATGATACCAAGACTTGAACCTGGGGCCTTCTTTATGCAGCAAAAGCAGACATAGCTTTACCTCTGAGCTATGACTTGTCTGACTTCATGGACAACCATTGAAAAGAACATAGTGCTATTTACATATATGCTAGAGTATATAAGCATATATACTCTTGCATTACTCTTTTGCAGTTGCTTCTAGGACTTGAGCCTTTTCATAATGGATCAACAGAGTATCTGCCTCCATCTCTATTGTAGGTAACTGGGAAAACTGCTTTGCAGAAGGCGAGTCTGAAGTCACTTGGCCTGACCAGCGGCAATGCCATCATCAGGTTCGAAGGCAGCTGTCCACTCTTCTATGTATTTGTGAACCTGGTTTCAGTCTATTTTTCCTGTAACAGATGAATTTCACATTTTGCTGGGTAGAGGAAAGTATTTTGGGAAATGTCTGGAGTCCAGTATTTTTCGGTGCTCAATAATTATTGTATTTCCCTGTTTGTTGAAAACTGCAGCTTAGGTATACTTGCTGTAGCTTCAGCTGCTGACACAGAACTTTTAATGCTGCTGCAAGGAATTTGTGCATGATGATTTTAACTTCACTGTCTTCACTTCTGCCAGATCAGGCATTCATGCTTTGTATCATTTCTGGCTGTCTGAGAGAGGTTATTTTTGTTGGTTCCTACGTATATTAAGGAATACCTTTTCCTAAGCATTGATTCTATGCACTGAGGTCAGCAAAAGAGACCTAACCTCACCATCATGTAAGGTGAGGTTAGTAAAGTTGTAGAGCAAGGTTTTCACTGTAGCAGTGTGCACAGGGTGCATTCACATGTCACACCAACCCAAGCCCACCTGGCCACAGACTAGACTGAGCTGGTGGTTCTGCAAAACCCCATCGTACACCCAACAGATGCTTGGACTCCCCATGACCCTCCTCCCTCTCCCTCAAATCTCCCACAGGTATCCCAGGAGATACCATGGCAAGACCAGCTTGCCTTCCCTGTTGTGATCATGAGCCATTTTTAGTTTGTTAGAGCCTTTTGATGTGGGTTGGGGGTGTGATCATGATCTTCAGCCTGACAGACAGCTTTCTCAATCCATTTCAGTGCCCAAGCAATACTTTGAAGGAACTGGCCAGGCTTGCAAGCCATTTTTTAAAAAATATATACATTCAGAAGAACCCAAGTGTGTGCCAATATCTGTGCACATTCTAATTTTTTCTGGTCTTTTGCAAGTGTGCACCAGCATGGGAATGGGAATCCTCACCTGAGCAATGTCCAGGGAGGTACCCATTGGCAAAATGTGGTAGGTACCAACCCTGGACGTTGACCTGGAAAGGCTCCAAAGGACCTTTCTTCCATTTTGGTTTGGGTTAAGAGCTGTCAAAGGTGAGTGGCAAGGGGTTTTGCTGCTCTTGCCAAGCAGCTTGCCTACCCCTTCTCTTCACCCACAGTGAGGATGGTTGCCCGGGCTTGGAATACTTGCCAATTTTGGGTGAAACAACCCCTAAAACAAACCATGGGTTGTCAAGGTGACTTAAAACCTAAGAATAAGCTACACTGGGGGAAGGTTCCAGGTTTGCATGGCATACCTTTAAGCTATGGGTGTGCAAGCCCAGTCACATGTGAAATGTTCATCCTCATGAGTTCTTCCAGGCTCTCTCACTTCTTTCCTTCTATCAGTGGTGGCAAGATTTTGTTTTACCACTTTGCAACTGCCTGATACACATTGTAGCTTGAATCTGATGCTAGTCACTTTGACTGCTGCTGGTTTTTAGTCTCAAGGCAGTGTGCTTTAATTATCAAACTTGACTCATTCATGATTTTGGGTGGGGGTAACTGTTTGTCTTTTTATGCTGCTTAGGTAGCTTTTGGTCAGAGAATCCAGTAAATCAGGCAGTCAGTCTTCAAGTGTGTTTCCCAGGCTCTAGATTTTCCAGCATTTTGCCATCAGGTGTTAACTTCTTCACATGGCCCTTTCCCAGGGATATCTCCTTGTAATTAATTTGACAGCATTACGGGAGAAGACTGATTCCTGCTTACCCCACGGTGTATTGACTTCTGCAGTGCTTAAGGGGACAGAGATTTTTGCTTTACTGGCCCATTTTCTGCTAAGTATAATAATCCGTAATATAGGGATTTTCTCTTATTAAACACATTATATATTGTGTTTTGCATTACCATTAACAGCTTTTGGTTAATACAGAAATAGAATTAAATGACGCTGACTTGTTTCCCCACTTGAGACATGACACTACTTTGCTGGAGGAATGTGGGTGGGGGCTGTCGTTTCCTAACTCACATGAAGTGAGCTGACCTTGGACTGTTACCTGTTCGCTTGTGTCTGCTTGCCCAGTTCTCATTCCTCTAGAATCAGAGTCCTTAGGTCAAATTGCCTGCTTTATTTCACATTAAAGTGGCATTTATTTTTAGACATTGCTTCTGTGAAGCATGACATGCCCAGATTCTCAGAAGTTGTTATTTGTTCCTCTCTAGAGGAAATGACTTGAGAGACTTGTTTAATCTCCAGGCTGCTTGTGAGTAGGGAGAAAGTCAACATTTTTACTGTCCATAATAGCTTAATTCTTTCCCTTTTATGTCTTTTCCTAGAGTTATCACAAAGAAGACCACTGCTGAAAACGAGAAACCTGGGAGGAGTGACTCTCTTCCTAAAGAACTAACAGAAAGGTCATCCTCTAGGGAAGAGCCTTTGGACACCTCTGTTCCACATGCAGTTGCCTTCCCAACAAGCTCAACCTGTAGTGATGATCCTGCATTTGCTGGCATGTGTTCTGATAAGCAGGACTGGAGTAAAGCATCTCAGGGCAGCTCAGTGGAGCTCCATTCTCCTTCGTTTGTCCCTGTTGCAGGTGAAGGACAGCAACTGGGTAGCTGTGGTTCTCCTGTAGCAATGATATCTCCAGTATCAGATATGCTATTGTCAAACCTGCCAACTTCTCTGTCCAGTCCTGGAGGGCCTTCCAAGCCAAAGAAGTTAAAGAACAGTCAAGAAAAACTGAAGGAACAAAAAGAGGTAGTGGTTTGGCTTGCTTACAAGGTTCTAGGGTAGAGGGATTTTTTTTTCACTATCTGTCCTTCCTCAGTGTTGGTTTTTGAAGACATGGAGGAAACTTCTTAGTATTTACAGTTTCCAGTGTCATGCTTCTGCAGTAAACCCCTGATCTGCAGCCTGTGATGCTGAGGAATCTCAGGTCATTTGGACAGAGTTTGATCTTTGGTCTCCTTGACGTGATTTATAGCTCAGAGAGTGGAACAGGATGACGGCAAAGTGTGAGTTATAAAATTGATCTAGTGCACTTTGAAATTGCAAGTTTGAAATTAGTGAGGTGAAGTAACAGTGAGGAGGGCAACATACAGAGTTTGAGGGGTGTGCTGTACAGGCTGCAGCATTAATCACAGCAGTATTATTCGTTCAAGGACAGGATAAAGCATGAAGAACTCATAGCAGGCTTCTGCAGGGACAGAAACGGCACTAAATTTAGCAAAGTACCCTCCGATTTTGCCTTCTGGTCTTGAAATGGCTTCCATTGCTGAGAAGTTCCTTAACTTACAAAAGCTCTTTTGAGACAAGTTTCCCAGCATGCAGCTGAATCAGGAGGAACAGGAGAAGGTGGCATTGAAGCCCTATTGAGACAGTTCTACAGGAATGACTCATTATCCCCTGAGATAAGCCTTGCCCTCAGTTTAGTTGTATTTGCTCTGTGTTCCTTTGGAAATCTTTCTGCTGTGAAATTCCTGAGGTTTTACTCTTCCTTGTCAACCCTTAGTACTAAGCTAGATAAGAAAGATGTGGAAAGAAAATTACTGGCAACAATAGGAGAAACGCCTGTGAAATGTAGGCAAATAGACTGGGTTATGTTCCCCTTCCCCCCAGTCTCCAGTGCCTGGGTGTGCTGAAGAATGTAATCAGGTCTTTGTCCTTTCTCCTAAATAATTTTTGATAGAGATAGCAAACATTATCCTAGTTAAGTGATGCATATTCACAAGCTTTTAAAATTGGGTGGTCCTTTGTGATCACTCGCAACCCCTTCCCTCATTTTCTTGAGCATGTCGCCTGGCTAGCTAGCTGTCCTGCAATTCACTGTAGATGCTGCTCTACCAGGTTGGCATTTGGGGTTGGAAAAAACCCCCTTCATTTCATCCCCGAGGACAAGTGTTGGTTGAACGTGGGTGATTTTGTTTGGTCTTGATATTGGACTGAGGCCAGTGCTAACTCTTCTTCCATTGTTTTGCTTGTAGCTATGGAAACCTGCTCTACAACCTTGACAGGGGTTCTTCTACCCTTAGGCAGCTTAAAAGATGCCCCCAGAGCCTGCTTTTCCAGGGCTGGCAGAGTGTTCTCTGGGGAGCAGCTGCAGGTTCTGCTGGAGGTTTCCCTCCCTCCATGTTAAACAGCGTGTGACTTTGACTGCTGCTTTCAGGCGCTTTGATCTCGGGTGCCTTTGCTGCTGATTGATTACGTTGTGCTGCTCCCTCCTCAATTCCTTCCATCCCCTCGCCTTGCTCTCATCTGCAGCCCCAGAACGGGGCTGGCCACATGGCATCTGCTTTTTGTCCCTTTTCAGTCCAGAGGGGGAAGCAGAAAAAACCCAAAACAAAACAAATTATTTTAAACATCAAAGGTTCATTTTAGCAAAAGAATCTTCCCATTAATGTTATGCCTGTGTGTGGTTTTTTGGATTTGATGGAAGAGGCTGGATAAAATCTGTGCCGGCGTCCCACCACTTCTAGGCTGGGGATGGTTTACAGACAAGTCATGTTTTGACTTTGATGTCAAAACATTAATTATTAGAAGGTAGCTTTACTCCAAATTCTCCTAGAGATCAGAGAATTCTGCAGTGGGAGAGAGGGGCTAGATCTGCCCAGCACCTTGTTTTTAAAGCCATAGCATGCCCTACCATCCTTTTGACTGTGGACCACAGGAATCCTTAAGTGGGTAATCAGTAGCTTTGAGTGGCATAGCCATGGCACTGGACTCATACTCTCTAATCCTGTCAATGAAGGATTGCTCAATTTGTGAATCCTAATCAAACATAATGAAAGAGGTATTTTCATATTATCCTACCTTTATGAGCCTTTTTGTAATGGTTCTAAGATGGAAAATTATCTTGTTCAAAATGGCCAGCATCCAAGCACTCTGGTGCACAACTATATGAAACATAATTGGTTCTTGTCAACTTTTTCTGAACGTTTTTCTGAAAGTTATCTAGCTCAGTATTGAGTTGTGGAAAGAACATTATTGGTAACAATAATTAGCAAGATGGGACACCTAGGGTTCAGGTGGTACATGGTGATGCTTTCTGAGAAGTTTCCCTGGAACCCTTGTTGGCAGCTCCACATCCAAAGCTGAGGGCTGATCTGGTAAATGACCTTGTATTGGCCTACCAGAAAGGCTTGGTATGCAGAAGGTCCCTCTTCCTTTGTCTCTATTTTTGGCAGCTATCCCTAGCTATACTAGAAGTTGCCAGTGTCCTGGGTTTGTTTAATAGCCTGTAGAAAGGAATGTATTGCATTGTTTCTGTCCTCAAGTCAATTACTTGTTTCAGACATGGCCCTTCTGGGACGTCAGTTATTAAGCAGTAAGTGCTGTTGAGAGAAGAACTGAATGTTAACAGTGCTGACTTTGGAAGTACTTCATACCAAGCCAGTTGGATGAAGGGATGGGAAGGATGAGAGGACCCTAGAATGAGTATTTGAGGAATCCAGACTTTGTCCTGTGCTGCTACTGGAGAATTGCTTTGAGGGGATGAACTTCATGCTCTCTCATCTGAAAGGGAGATGGAGAGTGCAAAAAAAAGCCCAGCTCAGCTTTCTAGGTGATTAAGAAAATAGAATATAAACTGTGACCAAAGGAATGTGACACTTGCCTGTAAAGTTGTCACTTTACCTGTCTTCTGTCCTTCCTACTGAGCTATTGACTTGAATATTTAAGTTAAATACGTCTGTGTATTTCAGTTCTATTTGCTTTCTCCTGCTATAAATACAATGATTCTAGATCATGGAAGGCAATATCCGGAGGTTTAGGGGCTATTTTTGCCCCCCACCCCACCCCACCCCACGCCCCTGGCATGGTCAGCAATCCATGGGTCACTCCCTCATAAAAGATGGAATTGCCAGTTTGCCGCTGAAATTTGGTGACAAATTGCTTCATAGTGCTCCAGAGCATTAGGGTGGTTAAATGTAGCTTGTTTGTGATCTAAATGTAACCTTTTTGGTGCTCTGTAGTGGCTGTAGAGCACCTAACAGGCCATATTTATCTTCCAAACAAGCTAAATATGGACACATTTTTCTGGAGAAAGATTAAAACACAATGTATTTTGAGGAGCACCTGGGAGTTGAGGGGTGTGACAGGAGACAGCAGGGGCTGCATGCAGCCCACAGACTGTGTGTTGTACACCCATGTTCTTGGTGCTTTAATATGCTGCTTGTAGAGTAAATAAAAAAATTATAGTAGGATGTTAGCTGATAGCTCTCAGTTCTAAGTTCTCTCATGTGGATTTCCATGATATGGTAGGGGTTTATCTGTTATTTAGACTTCGTTAGATAGGAATAACTGTGTTGGTCATATTTACTTTCACCAAAAATTTTGAGGCGCAGTTCAGTTTTAACTGGAGCTCATGCATGTGGAGAACAAGAAGGGACAATAGAACAGTGGATTGGTGTCGAATGATCCCTTTGTATACCTTTATAGCAAGAATGGGCAACTTGTGGCCTGTGGGTGCTTTGACCCACAGCTGCCCATCATCAAACATCATATTGGGAATTGTTGGCCACAACTTCTAGAGTCTAGAAGTTGCCCATGTTTACTTTATAGTAAGCCTGTCCCGAGTGACTGGTTTATATAATGCCTGGTGCAAATAGTCTTACCAATTCCCTTGGGAGCTAATATGTGAAACAATGGCAAAGCACCCAGGTTTTTGCAGTAGGCAGCCCTCTTCTTGGTAATCCAGGAGGAGGAGTCCTAGACTGCCAGTAGAAGACAGCTGACGGTCTGTGCTGCTACCAGAGTTAGGCGACAGTAGTCTTTGTGAGAGGATAGATTGGCAGCTCGTGGGTACTGCTTGTGCTTTCTGCCCAGGGAAAGCTACAATCAGGCTCCTTCACCCTCTAGTTAGACCCAACTCTCTTCGACTTTCTAAAAGTAGCTGAGGGTCCCACCCACGCAACCTCACTCTTTTAACTTCCCAAATTACCCTCTGGTGCCCACAAATAGAGGAAATCTTGCCTTGTAATTTGTGTTGTCTCTGCTGACAATTGAGAGAGACTCCTTCTATTCCCAGAGGGCTTGTTGGAGGTGGGAGGGGTGGTGGTGCTGGAGCGAAGTGAGGATAAGATAGGGTAGTCGATGGCCAGGGAAGTGTGGGTGGAAACAGGGCACAGACAGGGATGTGCTAGAGACATCAAGGCGGTGGGGGTATGGGGGATTATAAATAGGAATGTCCGAGTTCATGGAGTCTGGGCCAAGCTGGGCAGATCATTGATGGCCAAGGATGCTGGTCTTCAAAGCAGCCTATTAGCCACACAGACCAAGTGGTGCCATCACTTTTTAGCTCTGCATTCACAGTGTGCCTGCCAACAGTTTTGCCGCACTGCACCTTCTTTAGCCTATCAGAACTAGCAAGACCATGTTGTTGCCTGGAGAAAGTCTTGACGTCCAAAATGTGGCCTTGATGCGGCTGCACTATAAAATCTGATTGACCTGCCTGCTAACTGAAGTCAGCCAGTCAGATGGAAGACATAACTTGTTTTTGCTTCTGCTTGTGGATTTTCAAGTTCTTCATCTTTTCCAAATCTGTCTGTCAAGCCTTCTGTAGCCATTTTAGCTGTCCATATGGCATTCCTCCACAGGCAACATTTCTGCTTCAGACAGGGTGAATGATGGCAGCTTTCAGACTGTAAAGCAGCCTTTCCCGGGCCAGTGCCCTCCAGACGTTTTGAACTTCAGCTTCAGTCATTGGTCATTCAGTCCATTGGCCAATGGTCAAGAGTATTGGGGGTTATCATCCCAAACATCCCAGGATGCCAGATTGGAGAAAACTGCCATAAAGTATAGAGAAATAGTTTCCGAACTAATTCAGGCATTCAGAAGCACACTTAGGGGATCCCTTTTTAAAAAGTATCCCTGCCATTAGAACTTTTCTGCATACAAAAGAGATTCATGTGTTCATTTAGTAGATTCAAGGATTGTTAGGTCTGTTGCATATAAACATAAATTCTGAAGTGGTGGCACACTTCTGTGTGAGCTGTGCTTTGTACCTTTCCTAATATGTATGTTAGCAACAGTGCTTCTAGGTTTGTGCAGGAAAGGATAAGTGGTTTGTGTGAGAAAAGATTAAAACATAGGTCAATTATGGATGTTTTGTGTGGCTAAAAGAAGAAATCTGTTCATCTGTTGAGGGTGCAGAACACCCTAAAAAAACCCACCATTGTGTAAGTGCAAATATCTAGTTCTTTCTACTGTGCCGATTCCATGCTTCCCTGGGTTCAGTCATCATAGCTACAATTTGTGTTCTCTCTGCAGGGTTTGGAGAGAGAGCCAATTGTGTGCCACCTAGATCTGCAGCAGCCAGTGGATTCTGGCCTACAAGATCTTCCTGATGAGTTTTTTGAGGTCACAGTAGATGATGTGAGGAAACGTTTGGCCCAGCTCCAGAATGAAAGGTAAGTTTCTTTTTTATAAGTGCTTATGAATAGACTGTGTTATAGTCATAGCATAATGACCTGTGCTCAAGAGTTAAATGTAGACTGCCATCACCATGAGTTGTTGAAACATAGGTGATCATGTTGTCTGAATCCAGCTCAGATAAAAAATCATGGTGAAAACCCCAGTTCACAGCCTGATAACAAACCATGAATTCTTTTCATGTATTGTTAGTGAGTAACAAGCCATGACTTGTTAGTGCAGCTGCACAATATGTTTATATTGTCTGAATCCAGACAACATCCGTGTTTCAACCACAACCCATTGACACACATTGTGATATGTCTTTGTATTAGCTTGATTTTTGAACTAATCAAGTATGCAGGTGGAATCCAGTGTTATACGTGTGAATGTCTCTCCTCCCAACTGCAACCCCCCCTTTCCTAAACTTTGATTAGAGGGCCCTCTACCCCTTTAGAGCAGACTTTGAGGGTGACACAGGGGAGGGGGAGTTGTCCCATTCCCATACCGATGATAGAAGTAGTTTCATGTGTAGGATTAGGGAATTGAAGACCACCCTTTATTGTTATTCATCTGTAAGATTTACACCAAGTGTTTCTAACATGACCTGCAAGCACCAGCATGCCAATGTGTCCATCTAACGGCACACGCAAAGGAGGTCGCAATATGATACCCTGGAGCACCTGGATTATTAAAAAATACATACATTAATTTGTATGAAATAAAAATACAGTTTTCTAGGAATTGTATGTAGGGTTCAACAAAAGCAGACCAAATATCTAAGTACACATTTCATGTTAACATCTATATACCACCTGTTCCTATGTCAAAGACAGTGCATTGTATTATTGGAGATGAGTACTTATATTTCCGGTTTTGCCATATCGGTCTTTGAGCTATCAAAAAGTCATTGGGAAGCCATATTTGTTAATTTCTTTGAAGAAGATAAATGATATAAAAGAGTCTTCATATTGGTGAATATTAAAGAAAGATCTAATCTAAAATTAATAACCTCCTCCCCGCAATAAAACCAAGTCCTGGGCATTGCCAAAACATAGTTAAAAGATGTATCAGCTGTAAATTGCTATCAGCAATTAGCTGAATTAGACAGTCACTTATTACAGAGATGTTGTGGTGTCATGGATGCAAAAATTTTGTTGAGTATGTGGTATTTGCACAGCCAAATATCCATAGATGCCAGAGCAGTGCCAGAGCAACAATCCACTGTGGTGCCCACAGCAGTTTCTCAAATTCACAGATGTTCCCATGGAACCAAAAATGTTGGGGACTCCGATTTACAGGATGTCTGGAAAGGGTGAATCCTCCCAAGGCAGCATACAACAAAGCATAATAACATGATAAGATCCATAATAAAAACCATTATAAGACCAGAATTAACAGTTAAAACCTGGCAATACCATAAACAGAATGGTCCTAGTGGAACCTGAACTCATTTGTAGGCCAAGATAAACAGGTTATACTTTAAGTGCTTGAAGTCCTGTAATGATGGAATCAGCTGTATTCACAGGTTGTGCTTAATGTCCTCCATTTTCTTGGAGGTTTGGGGTTGCTTGTAGTTTTCCAGCCACATAACTATGTTCACCTGCCTAAGGTAGAATGTAAGTAAGTACTTGCTGCTAACAATTGGAGAATCTGAGACAGGTATAGCATGACGCCCAAGCATATCTTTTCTGAAGTGAAGAACATCAGTGGAGTGATCTCCCAAGTAAATTTGCATAAGATTGCAGCCTTAATATGAACTCTAAAGAGGAAGAGAAACATTTACATTGGCTGTATATTCTAGTCAGTGGAAGCTTTATGCTCATATTACAGGCCTGGTAAATGTGTCTTCCAAGTGGAAGAAAAATCTTCCTGTCTTCCTTTCTTAGATCGATCGCCTACTCTATCCTTTGTGCTCAGAGTAGGCTGCAGTAGTTTTTCATAACACACACAATTCTGTCTCTCAGCCTCACAGATGCAATGGGATGACACTTCCCTGCATCCTGCAAGGTTGCAGGTTTATTCTTTAGGATGGGATTTTCCTAGCTGATCTTTCAGTTTCATAAGCCCTAATGGTTTCCATTCGTTGCAGCCAGTGCAACTAGGTCACAAAGTTGCTTGGACATTCTTTCTACACTCTCTTCTTGCTTAGATGTCTCTGTCATAAACACTGGAAAGAGGATAGAAGAATGGACAACAAAGCTCATGGCCTCTTTGTTTATGCCTTGGCAATCCCATTTAGTTCGCTTTGATCACAGTGCAAGCTTCTCAGGTGCTAAGCCAAAAAGCAAATCCAGGCTACTTTTAAGTCAAGAATTTTGTTTCCTCGCATTTTTACGCTGTGTGGTGATAATATCCAGTTGAAAACTGGAATCTTCATTTGCAGGTGAAAGGCTGTGCCTACAGAATCAAGCACCGAGAAGGAAAGCAAGGAATTACACCCGTTGCAGATCTCAGTTACTGTAAAATAGAGAAAACAGATTGCCTTTGTACTGCCTTCAGTTTTGAATTCTCTCACAGATGTTTAGCATGGCCAATAAGAGACTGCTCAATTCTACAGCTTTGAACCAGTAAAAAGGCGCAGTCACTCTGTGTCCTTTTCATTTTATACTTGATGTTAGTAATTTGAAAAACTAGACATTCAGATGATTTGGACACTCTAAGTGGGTTGTGGGGTGTCCTGGCAGCCGTGGTGAATATTCAAGTTGCAACTGCAGATTGTTGTGTCGTCTGAACCTGGAGGCACTGAGTTTTGTTCTTTGAGAGTTAAACTATCCTAACAAAACCCGTGGGCCACAGGTTTCTTGGATCACACAACAAACTGTATCTTCAGCTTGTATAATTAGGGGAGCCTGTGGGTGCAGAGTCTCATCATAGTTTAAATACGTCAATAAGGAACCTTGATGACTGTGTTCTGGTGAGAATCTCCGTGTCAGGATTGTGCTCAGACTTGGGATGAACCGATTCACTGTCTTGTTCAGGTGTTTAAGAAATACTTGATGGGAGGACAGATATGCAAATAGGCTGTCTGTAACCATATATGCCATTAAAACTTGGTGTATATTTGTATGTTTCCATGGGCTGATTTTCCTTGGAAACATCATAAAATCTTGCAAACATATATTGATAGTGAAGCAATCGGGTGGTTTCAAAGAAGACTGCTGTATTATTTCTTAGACAGAATTACACTGAGTTCATTTGAACAGAGCTAACCATAAAAACATGTCTAAGTTGTATTTGCAATCTTGTTGTTCTCTAATTACAGTAAATTTTTTACCTGTCACCAGTCGTGATGAATCAGTATTTTGAGTTAAATGTCAAATGACTCAAACTTCCCTTTTAAATTTCTAATCATTCCTTTGGTATTGTAATGTGACATATTATTCCACCACAGGTAAGCTTGAATTGAGCTTTCTGTTTATAAAGTTGAGGTTTCTTAAGTATCCTGTACCTTTTCTCCCCAGTCCCCAAGATTGGTTTGAAAATTATATACTTTGAGAACAGTCATAGAGGATGAGGGTTACCTGTGTAAGACATTTCCAAATATAAGCACTTTTATTGCATACTTTCAATTGATATGCTTGTTACAACTTCTTTTCTACACCACAAGGGGGAAATGTGGCAAGTATACATACCAGTGGACTTTTTTGTCTCAACCAAAAATTAATTGCACATTGGATTATTTCAGAAATTAGTCTGAATTTGTTGTGAGGTTGTGTTGATGCAGACCAGTATTTTGTGGGCACATGTGAGTGTAGCCTTCAGCTAGGTTTGAAAATTGGTAGGCCAGGAGATACTTGGTTAACATGTATTATTAAAGATTTAACATAGTGTGGTTTTATCAGAAGGTTTTTAAGATCTACTCAGACTGCTGCCTCTTCTGTTTTGGAAGCATGTAGAGGTGCTTTGCTTTAGACTCTTGGGAATTTTCATACACAGAGGTGGAGGATACAAAGGAGAGCATGTTGGAGGGTTCAGTTGTAGGGGTCATTATGTGATTGTATGGAGCAGCAGCACCCTGCTGTCTTGATGTATGGCTGTTCTAACCTGCTAAGTTTCTCTTCTTAGGAAGCGTTTGGAAGAAGCTCCCTTGATGACACAAGCACAGCGAGAAGCTCAAATGAAAGAGAAGATGGAGCGTTATCCAAAGGTATATCTTTACTTTTGAAATGTTTCACAGAATTGCAAAATGTGAAGATAGGTAATTGAAGGAATGCATGACTGCTAAAAAAACCCCAAAAACTTCTAGTATTCAGAGGTTCAAATGGAAATTACTTCACCAAAGAATTCTTTCTGTTGTCATTGATTTTTCTTCTTTTCATATGGATTCTTTAACTATCTAGATGAATTGGTTAATGTGGGGTAAATAACTAAATGGCAAGCAGAGTTGGCTGACTTCAGCTGTCACCACAGCCGAATTCGTAAGGTTGAGTATTGTGTCCACTTCTCCCTGTTGGTATGAAGTGCAATGACTCTCTTGCCACCTACAGTGGTGGAACCCAGCATAAGTTACATTAATACTTGGCAATTATGTTGTACTTTAAAAGTGCTAAGAGCCTTTTGTGTACATTATGTTGTTATTTGAATAAAGAATCTCTATTATCCCTACATTGCAGATGGAAAGACTGAATCAGAGAGAGATTGTCCTGCCTAAAACCTCTTAGTGAGTTCATGGCAGAGCCAAAATTTGAACTGGGAACTTCCTGATCCATAGCTTAGTTTTAGCCACTATGCCATCTCAACTAATCGTGGTTGTTCTTGACTGGTCCCAACATCCTGTTGTTGTGGGATTTTAAGACAACCCTGTCAGATATGGACAGAGTTAAAGTCTTGCAAGCCACATATATAGCCTCAGCCAGCCATAATTGCCCATTTTTGGCAAGGACCAGATTTCAGAAAATGAGATAGTCTTGCCCAAAGCTAGAGGAAGTTGTGCTGTGGTTTATGTTTACCTGAGCAGACTCCTGGCTCTTTATCTTCATCTAGGTGGTACTGAGAGTTTACTTTCCAGATCGCCATATTCTACAGGGCTTCTTCCACCCCACAGAAACAGGTAAGAGCTTATCTGCTTCATGTAAGTAACACTGAATTAGAACAACAGTTCCTTGTTGTCAGGCCTAGTGTTTTTGGCCTGATATGGTTGCCTTTTAATGTCTGTAGTGACTTTATTTGGCTGGTGCTTTAAAAGTTGGAGGCACATACACTGTGAGCTGTATAGAGGAAGGCTGAGATTGTTTTCTAAACAGGATGTGTATCTGACAACTGCTTGATGGTTTCTCTTCCAGCCCACTTACCACGGGCATTAGTCATGCCCAGATGAGGCCACTGAACAACAGGGTGTTGGTCCAGTGTAGTTTCAACCAGAGCCCAAAAAAAGAGTTGGAAACACTGGATAAAATTTGAATCATCCACTCTTCTTAAATGTGCCAGGGGCCAAAGCAAAACCAGGCTTCCTGCACCTCTAAATAGCAGACGGCTAGAACTTCCTGCTGCATGGCAGGGCACACACCCAGCTCTGCTTTCTACCTCAGCCTTGCATCTATCCTGGCTACAAAAATCAATGTCAGCTTTTTCTGATTAATTCCTCATTCACATCCTCAAGCCTTTTGCCAGTTGGAACTCCAGGATGCCTGTTCTTTGCACATTCATAGCCTAAAGCAGGATTCAGCTTTCTTGGTGTGAGGTGTATATCAGTCACCTTATTTCCAAAATGCTGAATAGAGGTAGGTGGAACATGCTAAGTAGATGAACTGACTTAGAATTGTATGGTTGGATGTTACCTCAAAGATCATCTAGACCAACCCCCTGCCAGTGTGAGAATTCCAAATAGCCATCCATTTTCTGCTTGAAAATCTCTAACAAGGGAGAGCCTGGCACCTCCAAGACAGCCTGTTTGCTGTCAGAAAGCTCATACCATGGGGAAGTTATTCTTTTTGTTGTTCAGGTAATAGCTGACTGGTCCAAAGATACCCTTATTCAGCCACAGCAAAATTTGCAGTTGCTGCCTGTGCCTACTGGGGGAAGAGATGAAGTATTTAAGTATAGAAAGAGGAGCTAGATAGGACTATGGGGTTGCCACTGTTGGTGATGGTCACTGTTCATTTGGATTGGCAGTTACCTGCATTTAAAAGCCACTATCTTCCTCACTACTGCATTTCTCTCTTACTCTTGCAATACCAGAAAGATTCTATGAGAGTCTGATTAGTAACTTAAAGCCCCGCTCAGTTACTTCCTCCAGATGTGCTGACCCTTCTGAGCCACTCACTGAAAGCAAATAATGTCTTGGTAAACAGTTAATGTAAGATGGAAGCCATGAGAAGACGCTGCTTCTTCTATGCCTAGGCTGACTGGAAAGATTGGAGTTTGCTGTGAGAGGTGTATGTATGGTTTTCATCTTGGTTAAGAGGACAGACATTTTTCATAAACTGAAGGATGGTTAAAGAGTTGATGTCAACATCTCCAAAATGAGGGGAAGCGCTGTCTAACTAAAGACATAGTAATTAGGTTTATTTGACATGACATGCTATTGTGGGAGATAACCCATGGTGAGTTGTCATGTTGTACAAATCCAGACCAGCTCCTGCAAATTGGCTTGTTTGTGGGCACAAAGCTATCACAATCACCCATGGCTTCTTGTTGGACCTGCAATGGATTATCATGTCATCTGAACCAAGAAAACTGACCACACTGTGGGTTGCAGAGAACAGCGAACCCCCCATGCGGCTCTTGCCAGGCTATCCTGGGCCACTGCCAGCTTTCCCACTGATGCTCAAGTGACATGGTGGAGTGACCTTCACAAAGTCAGTGCTGCCAGCCCTTTTCATGCTCATCATGAGCATTTCCCCCTTTTCTGCATCTCTCTTCCCCAAAGATTCTTTTTTGCAATCTCCAAGTTGACAGTTAGTGACATCACCTTTCAAAGGGTCCAAGTGGCACACTGGAAAGACTGTCACTGGTTCATCACTTTTTTAATGCAAGAAATTTATACACATGTCCTTGTATTTTTTAAAATTTTCCTTTTTTTAGTCAGATATGTGCAAGTGTAACCTGCACACTTGTGTGGGTCTGAAATGGCAAGCTTCACCTGGGCAATGTCCTGGGGCGGGTGGGGGGCTATCAAAGTCCAGCAGGCATCCACTGTGGGGATTGACCCAGAGAAAGCAGCAAAGAGGTTTATTTTTCACTTTGCTTTCAGCTATCAAAAGCTGAGCTATTGGGAGAAACCAAAGCCACATGTGATCTTTGCTCATGAAAGGGGATGGCGAGCTGACCACCCACTTTGTGGCAAGATACTCTAGGATTGCGGGGAGGCATAACTCTGGTTAGATCCTTTGCAGTTTTCTGGCCTTTCCTGAGACTTTAACTAATTGGGAAAGTGGAAAAAAACTGAGTCACTTGTTCGATCGGAGTAGGGATCTTTGACAGATAGCTGGAAGGGGTATTTTTTGACAGAACTGTTTGTTTGGACAGCGGCATAAGCAGCCATATGACCAAAAGGGAAGGAGATGAGGGGCAACCAACAGTCTTTTGAGTGCACCGTGGGTTTGTTTCATGAACAGCTCATCCTATGTTGTTTATTCAGAGGATGGGTTATGGTGACATGTGAGCCTACCCAGTCTACTCAGTGATAGCACTGAAAGCAGGGGCAGATTCTGTGGTGTGCCAACAAGTTGCGTTTTGGGGAACCCCAAAAAAGTACTGATCAACAATCAGGCATTTCCTGTTTCTTCTTCTGTTCCTCAGTTTCCAAGAGAGTGACTATGTTGGATGGTGCTGAGAATATATCTTTTGCTCCATATACTTCTTTTCTCACTTTACTTGACAGTTGGTTCTCTGAGGGCCTTTGTGAAGAGCCACCTTGAAGATCCCAAGATACCATTTTATTTATGTAAGTTGAGAATTATTCTCCATCATTTTACAACCAACATAATTGGCACTATAAAAAAAAAAATCTGAGGGTCATTATAGTGCTAATCCAACCCCAGATTTCAGTGCTTGAGCTTGGGCTAATGCAGGTACTCCCTCTCTCTTCTTCCTTCTCTTGCTTAAACCGGTATGTGTTTTCTGTCCCTAATAGGAATTTTATCTCTTTATTTAGTTATTACACCTCCCAGATCCCTCTTGAGTGATGATGGTTTGACCCTCTTCAAGGTAATGATTTTATCCCCCCCCCCTTTGATTTATCACAAAATTCCCACTGGAACAGGAATGGTTAACGTGTGTCCCTCCAGAAGGCCGACAACTCAATCAGCCCTAACCAGCGTTGCCAATGGTAAGGTATTTTGGAATTGTAGGCCATTGGATGTTAGGCCACATCTTGTTCAGCAAAAACTTTAGTCTCTGCTGGACACCACAACTTCTTTTTTAAATAAAGGACAATCTTATTCAGTTCATTGTGGCAGTGCAATTCAAGCAATGCTTCTTTTGAACATATGTTTTGGTGATGTCAGTAGTTGCTTCTTTTTGGGGTGTGGTGATTGCACACATCATTGTTACACTGGAACTATTGTAATATTGACTGATGAACATGCTGCTGTAAGAATGCAGTCTTAGGGGGGTCCTCTTGATCCTCTGCACACAGAGCATTATGGGCGTCCTATGGAGTGGGAGGAACAGGATACTGGGGAAGGTCACCCTGACCGTTTTCTTGCTTTGTGAAGTACCTAAGATGGTTTCTTTCATCCATCTAGGTACGGTGCTTCCAAGAGGGAGCAAAGCCTACCAAAGCACCTCCATTGTATCTGGGGGTCTCCCTTCCCCACCCCCAGAATGTCCTGAAAATCCCTTATTTGAGGTTGCTCTTACGACCTCAGAAGAGCCATTGGCACAATGCTTCCCATGCCAGTTGTGAAGGTGGGTTCTGAGCATGGATTCCCAGAGTAGGAGTTGAAGCAGTTTTCCAGATATCCTGGTTAGAAATCTGAAAAAATCACATCACTATCTAGTTGCTGTCTAGCAGCCAGTGGATTGCACTGCCTAGTATTTCCATGATTCATTGAAATTAGCAACTGGGCTGTGTAAATGGATTTTCTGCCCCTTTTTGATAGCAGAGCATTGAAAGGATAAATATGATTCAATAAATTAAGGTTATCACGGTGAATTTTATATATTAACATTATTTATTTATTTATTTATTTATTTATTAAAACATTTCTATGCCACCCCTTGCCAAGGCCTCGGGGCAGCTTACAACATTGAATACAAAATACATTAAAACAATGACAATTAAAATATATACAGTAAAATAAAATAAGCCGCCCTGGCCGAATAAAATTCAATAATATTAACATTTAAAATGCTGCATAAATAAAAAGGTCTTCGCCTGGCGCCGAAAAATAACGACGGCGCCAGGCGGACCTCTCTGGGGAGCGCATTCCATAATTTAGGCGCCACCACTGAGAAAGCCCTCCTCCGAGTAGCCACCCTCCTAATTTCCTTCACTGAGGGCTCCCGGAGGAGGGCCTCTCCTGCTGATCTCAAGGGGCGGCTGGGCATATATGGACGTAGCGCTCCTTCAGGTAACCAGGACCCAAGCCGTTTAGGGCTTTATAGGTC